GAAAAGTTTACACAATTAAACAACATGAATATGTATGTTTATGTGTATAAAGCAACTAAAATACCTCTTCTTTTAGTTGTTCAACTTTATCATCTGTCTAATCTACTGATATAATAAATTCACCTTTGTCGTTACTAATACAATCAGTAGTGTTTTAAATGAGTTAAATATCTTTGAAAACTTCTCGCAATGACTAATTATCTTCAAAAACTGTAAAAAATACACATAAATCAGAAACTACTGAATATCTTTTTATGTCAGATAAATGTCATTTAAAAATTTGCAACTTTATTTTAGAAAAATTTAGCAAATTTTTTTTCGCTATCATAATCACAAATAAACATAATAAAAAGAGATGAACAGCAAAATTAAACAAACCCACTTTAACAAACCCATAATTACAAACAACAAAGAGCAATTAGCTCTTCACCAGCACAATATGTTTTAATATCTTTTTTCAACAAATTAATTGTTTCAGAAGACTTACTTTTTATATAATATTTAATCATTATCATTATAGGAAATAATTCTGCAAGTTCCTCTGCTTTCAGCAAAAAGATGCAAGTCAGTTCATTATAATTTCAATGCTTCATGATTTATGAAAAATTGTTAAGGGTTCCAGATTGCTTACAATGATTCAAAAGAATTTTAGACAGCCTATACTTTGAGAAACGCCATTAATTGATGAAAACGCTTTGTTTCTGAGCATAGAACATCATACCTGGTACATAATTTCCCAACTTTACGTGTTGTCCTTGGAGGATAAAGAGGTGCTAGTCGAAACAAAGATACAGATTCTGCAGGCTCTATTTGAGTTTTAAGAGCCAAAAGAACTTCAGCATTGTAAAACATCAAATGTACAAATTAGAGCTACATGAGTTGATATCTAAGCAATGCTAATTTCTCTTTGAACATTTGAACACATCAAAGGAAAATATCAAAAGTAACCTAAAATACTATAGATGCTTTTAACAACCCTAAGCTGCAAGAGTTTATTGTTAGATACACAAATATATATATCTGTTGCTTATAACGCTTTAGAAAACAACATCAACCTTATTCATAATTTAATTTAAATAAACTTAATTTTGTAGATTATTTTATGCTAATTAACGTTGTATTCTATTTTTATTTTTTTAAATAATTTTTGTTGCTATTTAGATAAGGTAAACAAAATATTAACAAATACAACATTAAACTAATTTTATTTTGCTTTTTTGACTTATCAAACTGTTATAAGATTTTAAACTTGTTTATTTTTTAATATAACACCACAATCAAAAATGACCGTAAAAAGCTCGGTCGTTTTAATAAATCCAAATTGTATACTTACCTGACTGGGAAGTTAAGTCGGATCATGACCTAACCAAACCTTACCTGACTGGGAAGTTAAGTCGAATCACGACCTAACCAAACAGTTAGTATTGCACCTTCTACAATCATGTGCAATCCTGTCCGCTTTCTCTATGCTTTCTTTCTGATTCTAATACTTCTATCTTAAACTTTAACATATCTTCGTTCTTCCCAAACTCACTTTACTCTTGGACTGTAGAGCGAGATTTGACGCTTCCTTGGGAGCTGAACAAGTCTCTGCAGACCTTGGTAATGTGGCCTCCACAAGGCAATTAGCTGGCGGAGGATAAACCACGATACCATCATGACCTAACCAAACAGTTAGTATTGCACCATCTACAATCGTGTGCAATCCTGTCCGCTTTCTCTATGCTTTCTTTCTGACTCTAATACTTCTATCTTAAACTTAAACATATCTTCGTTCTTCCCAAACTCACTTTACTCTTGGACTGTAGAGCGAGATTTGACGCTTCCTTGGGAGCTGAACAAGTCTCTGCAGACCTTGGTAATGTGGCCTCCACAAGGCAATTAGCTGGCGGAGGATAAACCACGATACCATCATGACCTAACCAAACAGTTAGTATTGCACCATCTACAATCGTGTGCAATCCTGTCCGCTTTCTCTATGCTTTCTTTCTGACTCTAATACTTCTATCTTAAACTTAAACATATCTTCGTTCTTCCCAAACTCACTTTACTCTTGGACTGTAGAGCGAGATTTGACGCTTCCTTGGGAGCTGAACAAGTCTCTGCAGACCTTGGTAATGTGGCCTCCACAAGGCAATTAGCTGGCGGAGGATAAACCACGATACCATCATGACCTAACCAAACAGTTAGTATTGCACCATCTACAATCGTGTGCAATCCTGTCCGCTTTCTCTATGCTTTCTTTCTGACTCTAATACTTCTATCTTAAACTTAAACATATCTTCGTTCTTCCCAAACTCACTTTACTCTTGGACTGTAGAGCGAGATTTGACGCTTCCTTGGGAGCTGAACAAGTCTCTGCAGACCTTGGTAATGTGGCCTCCACAAGGCAATTAGCTGGCGGAGGATAAACCACGATACCATCATGACCTAACCAAACAGTTAGTATTGCACCATCTACAATCGTGTGCAATCCTGTCCGCTTTCTCTATGCTTTCTTTCTGACTCTAATACTTCTATCTTAAACTTAAACATATCTTCGTTCTTCCCAAACTCACTTTACTCTTGGACTGTAGAGCGAGATTTGACGCTTCCTTGGGAGCTGAACAAGTCTCTGCAGACCTTGGTAATGTGGCCTCCACAAGGCAATTAGCTGGCGGAGGATAAACCACGATACCATCACGAAGCGGCTTCTCAGGCAGTATGTTTAGTAATTAGGAAAAGGTTTTATTTGCTCTTTAACTGGTTATAGTAGATTGTTAATTTAATGGCAAACTTTGTAAAAAGTAACAAAACAGTTTTTTTCAAAACTAACCAACAACAATTCATAGAAGATCAAAATACTGAAGAATTATCAACTATCCTTCTTAAGAAAATGGCGAAAGTATCAGCCGGCGAAATATCCGAAAACGTAATTATTGAATATAGTAGTGATGAACTTACCGATGACGAAGAACAAGTTAACGAAAGTCAAAAAACTCCAAAAAATTATGCTGCAGCAGCACGAAACGACATAAAAAAAAGAGTACTCCCACGAACACTCATTTGCGAAATTAAAAAACAATTCTCATTAAACGATATACTAAATGCACTCGAATACGAAAACCTAGATGAAGAACTCGAAGGCATACAATTCCTTAGAAGAAATACAGCAATCGAAATCGTTATGAAGACACATGAAGCCAAAAATAAGCTCCTTAAAAATGGACTCACTATAAATAATTTCCATCTTATGTTTAAAATGTCTAATGAAAACCGAAGACAAAAAATAGAACAAGAACAAACTCACGTCTCGGTGTTTGGCCTCCCCATTGAGGCACATAGTTTCAAAATTGGTGAAGTTTTTGAAACAATGGGCTACGGTAAACACATCTACACAAAACCAATAATGCGAACAACCCCTGGCAGAGGAATACCCTACTACTCCGGCATATTGGTAGCTGTAATGACTAACATGCCAAGACCAATGCCAACGACCTTAAACATCTTAGGTTACAATATAAGAACCAAGCACAACGGTCAAGAAAAACAACACAACAACGAAAAAACGCAACAACAGTCCACAAAAGAAGATCCTACAACTCAAAACCCCCAACAACTTATAAATCAAGAAAATCCAGAAGATAAAACAAATGAAGAAAACAACGAAACAAACAAAACAAACGTTATCGAAATCGAAGCAAAAAATAAAAAAGAAGAAAAAAAACAACAAACCATACCAACAAACGAAACCCATCAAGAAACAACTAAAGAAGAAGAAAGGAAGAAACAGCTGACAAGAAGAAAAGATTTCTACTTTGGAAAAGCGACGACGGACGAAGAAGCAGAAGAACAAGGTAACACGAAAGATACAGAACAAGAGGAAGAAGCGGAAGAAAGTCGATCAGAAGAAGCGAGCGAAAGTAAAGAAGAAAAAATGGAAGAAACGTGGCAAAAAACCATATTTAAGCGAAGCGCACCTCCACCGACACCACACAAAAACGAAAGAAAAAAAAGAATAGAAGCGAAGAACGAAAATGGCTAAGTTTTTATTATTTTTTCTTTTTTCTTTAACTTTTATTAACGACTTTTTTTTAAATATTTTAATTTTAAACGAACTTTATTATACAAAAATGCTCAACTCTAAACCACCCGAAGTATGCGTTCCAAAAAAGAATGTGCTTTTTCTTACATTCTTAATTACGGAACTCCTACGTAAGGGTGAAAAAAGCCTTGATTCTGATGAATGGATATTTTAAATATTTTTTCAGTCAATGTGGCTGGCTTAATAAATAAACAAAAACAAGAAACAGTTTTAAATAATTTCAAAAAACTAAATTATGATTTCTATTTTCTACAAGATACTCATCTTAACAAAATACAAAATGATGAGTTATCAAGAAAATGGAAAGGCAGCATATTCTCCTCTGCGGGTAAAACTCGCACAGGTGGTACAACAATTATAAGCAAACACGTGCTAAAAGCTTACGAAACTTTCGATGACGAAAAAGGAACTTTTAATTACGTCTTAACAAAACATAACAAACAAAAAATTCTTTTGTTAAATGTTTACGCTCCCTCGGGACCTGATTTCGCGAAAGACAGAAAAATATTATTTGAATTAATTGAAAACAAAATAAAACACATAAACTTAGAAAACGTTTTAATAATTATGGCGGGAGATTTCAATATGGTTCTAAATGAAATTGATAGATACCCACAAATCTATAGAAAAAAATGTCAGTCGACGGAAAAATTTAAAAGACTTATAAATAAACTAGAAGTAGAAGACACGTGGAGACTTTTTAATCCAAACAAACAAGAATTTACATACAAAGCCACAAACAATGTCTCTTATTCACGACTTGATAGACTATATATAAGTAAAAAAATAAGGCAATACGTGGAAATAAAACACGAACCAATGGCGCATTCTGACCATTACAACGCGTGCGTTGCCTCAATTAGCCTTGATAAAACTGAAATAGGTAAAAGTTTGTGGATCTTCAATAATAAATACTTAAAAAATCAAAACTATTTAAACCAAATAGAAATTATTATCAAAAACAAAACAACCCAAAGCATAGAATCAAAAAAAGAAACGTGGGAAAAACTTAAGGAGGAAATAAGAGAACACGCAAAAAAATATTGCAAACAACAAGCAAAAAAAAGTAGGATTGATGAATATAAACTGAGAAAAAAATTTAAAAACGCAGCAAAAAAAATACACCTAAACCTACGCATGCAAATTCTCTGCGCTGACATTAAAAACAAGCTAAAAATTTTCGAAACAAACAGGGCATATGGCGCAGCAATAAGAGCAAAAATCAAATGGCGAATTGAAGGCGAAAAATGCAGTCGCTCGTTTTTTCAACTAGAAAAACTAAAACCGGCGAAGCAAACAATAACAAAAATTAAGGATAAGAACAACAACTTGAAATCAGAAAAGGACGAAATTCTAAAAGCTTTTGAAAATTATTATAAAGACCTTTACGCAAGTGAAAAATGCGATGAAAAAAGTCAGAAAATCCTTTTCTCTAAAACATCTGCTGTTAAAAAAATACCCGCAAGTTTAAATAAAGAACTCGAATTACCAATAACAATTGTAGAAATTAAGAAAGCTTTAAGTACAATGCAAAATAATAAATCACCAGGATGCGACGGCCTCACCATCGAATTCTACAAGCAAAATATTTATTTGCTTGGAGAATTGCTAGCCGCATCCATAAACGAAATATTAAAATCTGGTGAAATGAGCGAAAGCCAAAAAAAGGCAATAATTACATGTTTGTATAAAAAAGGAGATAAGACGGACATAAACAACTGGCGTCCAATCTCTCTTTTAAATACAGACTATAAAATCATAACAAAAATATTCGCAAATAGGCTAAAAAAGATCCTACCCTTGATTATAAACGAAAATCAAACGGCATGCGTTCCGCATAGAACCATTTATTACAATTTATCATACACTAGAGACATCATAAGAATATCCAACAAAAATCAATTAGATACATCTATAATATCCATTGATCAAGTCAAGGCTTTTGACAGAGTAGATAGAAACTATTTATACGACACTTTATCTTTTTTTGGTTTTAATATAGTTTTTATAAACTATATTAAAACGCTATATTATGATATAAGCGCGCAAATAAAAATAAATGGATTTTTATCTGAAAAAATTGAAATAAACAGAGGAGTAAGGCAGGGTTGCCCTCTTTCGATGATACTATATATCATACAGGCCGAAATTTTCTCCGGTTACGTAAGAGCAAATAAAAACATTAAAGGGATAACCATAAACCAAAATGAAACTAAAATCCAGCAATATGCTGACGATACTAATTTCTACTTAACAG